CTGCAGCTCCTTCTAATCAATAAACTATTTCACGCGTATTTTCTTGAAAACTAACCTCGGAAAAAGGAACAATCCAACCTTCTTCAAATGACCATTCCAATGATGGACGCAAATCCTCAGACAGAACATCATAAATGTCCCCTTCGCCATATGGTGGAGGCAGCAATTCAATCTGTAAAGCAGGCCATATACATCATCATAAAGCAGTGCACGACAATTTTTTACTGCAAGCTTCAAAAGCCTCTAGTACCGTAAAATTAAGCCTAAATGGAAACAAAGAGGAAATCGTTTTTCATATGACCATATCATAGTTGTTCGTATACAAACACAAATACCATCAATCTGTGCATACCTTTAGTGAATCATTTTCTCTCACTTCCAGAACCTTCCCAGACCAATAACAATGATCTGTCCACCAATCCACTAAATCTCCTACTTTCCAAGTGTCATGAACAACAAGAGCTTCTTCTAGATCATCCTCTTTCTTTAAGACTTTGTTTTCACGACATTTTTTAGGGTATACAGGTCGAACCATCAGGTATTTTTTGTCCCCATCTTCGAGATATTGAAACACTTTTGTTTTATGTAGTCCTGAGGCAGATCAAAATTTTCAAAATGTAAACAAATTTATCAAATTGGTGCTAAGTTAATAAACAATGCAACATTAGAGGAAAGAAATCACCTTCTCCTGGAAAGTCGAGATACTTCAAATTATAGAATAATGCTCTCCCTTGCTTGAATATCTTTGTAATCTGATTAACAATAAACCATCAGCAAGCAAAACATATATCTTTTGCATATCAATACGATTGTTCAATAAGTTTAAAATGTACTTCTTTTAAATTGTAAGTAAAGAGAGAGTAAAATGTAAAGTAAAAAGAGAGTAAATCAATCATCAACTACGTATTGAATTGGCAGGAGCTTACTGCTTAGAAGCTACAATGCAATCTCTATTAAGATTATCTTACCAATCTATAAATTTTATTTACCCTAATCTAGATGAGTAGTGATAGGGTCGTCCATTAGTTTGTGATAGTGATGTTGCTTGTCACCATCTGGGTTCAAACCCCATAATGCATGCTGTTGACACAATAAACTGAAAAGATATGAAAATATAAGATATTGAACCCGAGTACCTCGCACAGAAACCAAGCTCCACGAAAACCCAATTCAAAAGATCTTACTTCTACGGAGTCACCAACTTTGAAAGGTAGATTGATGTGACTCATTTTTTTTGTCAAATTGCAAACTGCATATGATTAAAATGTAGTATTAAGAACTGAATCACGTAGGAAAATGAAAAAGCCAATCAAACATCACATCACATGCTGAAAAATATTTAGTTCGCCTTCAAATATATTTTTAAGAACACAGAAAACCCATCAAACAAAAAAAGGGAATGAAAACTTTATAAGAAAAATAAAACACAAAAGGAAATGAAAACTTAAGAAACTGAAAACTAGAAAAGAAGAATCTGTCCTATGTCATATCCCCACAATTGTGTTTTTAGAATAGTCTCAAATAGCAGGAGTTTGGTATTGTTTTGAGTACAATTAAAATGAATATAAGAATGAGTTTGCCTTCAGTCACGCTTTTAAATATCACTCAATCTATATCAACAGTTCCAAGAATAAAACATTGGACAATCATATAATCCATAGAATGGTTAAGAAAAGCTAAATACCTGATTGCTGGTTTATTTTTAAGCGTTGGAGTGCCTAGATTCTTGGTCATGCCATTGTCGTCATCTCTTTGATTACGACAGTTGAGATATCTATTGAGAATGATTCACATTTTTCCTTGTACCTAGTGAGAAAGACGAAATCCCAAAATCAGATTAAATGAAGAACCTCACCAACAGGAGAAGAATCACTCATAGCAAGTGATTTGGAGTCAGACTCAAATCAAGTAAATGATAGTTCATACTAAAATCCCAACAATGAGGAACTTGAACTAATCCCGTCTCTTGCTGCCTTAGATGAAAAAAGCTCACAATCGTAAAGATACTATTACATAAAGATCATAGGTGTGCAGAGGAATCCTAAATTCGCATTGATCTAGATTCTCCACTAGTTTTCAAATCCGAACTTCAAATTCAAAAAATCTAAGTTAGATGCATCTAAAATCGACTTGTTTAGAACTCAGTATATGAACAAAAAAAAAAGGAAACTAACGATCAGATTGTTTCCATAAATTAATCTGATTTTTCTAAAGCGGAATTCTGGAGATTTGAGCAACTCATAGTTGAAGCAGAATCTGTGAATTAGAAATGATAGATCTGTGGATTCGATTACTTCAATGTCTCCACCACCACTACTCTAGATCAGTATCATCCATTTGAGTGAAATCGAACAACAATAACGTAAACGAAGACTAAAATTCGACTTACTTGAGAAACGATAAGAGAAGCATTCGTCGAAGAAACTGATGACTGAAGAAGAAACAGAGATCCCAAAACGGAAAAAGCGGCGATATCAAGTGGAGAAGAAGAAGGAGTGGAATCAACACCGCCTTTAGGGGTTTTCTCTTCTTCAATATTCAGTACTGTAC